GGATCATTTGTGAGTGGCGAGTCCCACCCAGTGAATAAGTTGACTCATTTGCAACTCTCACCCAGTGAATTAAGTTGAGACTCGTTTATGAATGGCGAGTCTCACCCAGTGAATTATGTTGTGACTCATTTGCGAGTCTCACCCAGTGAATTAAGTTGAGACTCATTTGTGAGTGGCGAGACCCACCCAGCGAATAAGTTGTAACTCATTTGCGAGTCTCAACCAGTGAATTAAGTTGAGACTCGTTTGTGAGTGGCGAGTCTCACCCAGTGAATTAAGTTGAGACTTGTTTGTGAGTGGCGAGTCCCACCCAGTGAATAAGTTGTGACTCATTTGCGAATGATGAGTCCCACTCAGTGAATAAGTTGTGACTCATTTGTGAGTGGCGCGTCTCACCCAGTGAATGAGTTGACTCATTTGCGAGTCTCACCCAGTGAATAAGTTGAGGATCATTTGTGAGTGGCGAGTCCCACCCAGTGAATAAGTTGACTCATTTGCGAGTCTTGCCCAGTGAATAAGTTGAGACTCGTTTGTGAGTGGCGAGTCTTGCCCAGTGAATAAGTTGAGCCTTGTTTGTGAGTGGCGAGTCTCACCCAGTGAATTAAGTTGAGACTCGTTTGTGAGTGGCGAGTCTCACCCAGTGAATTAAGTTGAGACTCGTTTGTGAGTGGCGAGTCCCACCCAGTGAATAAGTTGTGACTCATTTGCGAATGATGAGTCCCACTCAGTGAATAAGTTGTGACTCATTTGCGAATGACGAGTCCCACTCAGTGAATAAGTTGTGACTCATTTGTGAGTGGCGCGTCTCACCCAGTGAATGAGTTGACTCATTTACGAGTCTCACCCAGTGAATAAGTTGAGGATCATTTGTGAGTGGCGAATCCCACCCAGTGAATAAGTTGACTCATTTGCGAGTCTCACCCAGTGAATTAAGTTGAGACTCGTTTATGAATGGCGAGTCTCACCCAGTGAATTATGTTGTGACTCATTTGCGAGTCTCAACCAGTGAATAAGTTGAGACTCGTTTGTGAGTGGTGAGTCTCACCCAGTGAATTAAGTTGAGACTTGTTTGTGAGTGGCGAGTCTCACCCAGTGAATTAAGTTGAGACTCATTTGCGAGTCTCACCCAGTGAATTATGTTGCGACTCATTTGCGAGTCTCACCCAGTGAATTAAGTTGAGACTCATTTGCGAGTCTCACCCAGTGAATTATGTTGCGACTCATTTGCGAGTCTCACCCAGTGAATTAAGTTGAGACTCATTTGTGAGTGGCGAGACCCACCCAGTGAATTATGTTGTGACTCATTTGCGAGTCTCAACCAGTGAATAAGTTGAGACTCGTTTGTGAGTGGTGAGTCTCACCCAGTGAATTAAGTTGAGACTTGTTTGTGAGTGGCGAGTCTCACCCAGTGAATTAAGTTGAGACTTGTTTGTGAGTGGCGAGTCCCACCCAGTGAATTATGTTGTGACTCATTTGCGAGTCTCACCCAGTGAATTAAGTTGAGACTCGTTTGTGAGTGGCGAGTCCCACCCAGTGAATTATGTTGTGATTCATTTGCGAGTCTCACCCAGTGAATTAAGTTGAGACTCATTTGTGAGTGGTGAGTCTCACCCAGTGAATTAAGTTGAGACTTGTTTGTGAGTGGCGAGTCCCACCCAGTGAATTATGTTGTGATTCATTTGCAAGTCTCACCCAGTGAATTAAGTTGAGACTCATTTGTGAGTGGCGAGTCCCACCCAGTGAATAAGTTGTGACTCATTTGCGAATGACGAGTCCCACTCAGTGAATAAGTTGTGACTCATTTGCGAATGACGAGTCCCACTCAGTGAATAAGTTGTGACTCATTTGTGAGTGGCGCGTCTCACCCAGTGAATGAGTTGACTCATTTGCGAGTCTCACCCAGTGAATTAAGTTGAGACTCATTTGTGAGTGGCGAGTCCCACCCAGTGAATTAAGTTGAGACTCGTTTGTGAATGGCGAGTCTTGCCCAGTGAATTATGTTGTGACTCATTTGCGAGTCTCAACCAGTGAATAAGTTGAGACTCGTTTGTGAGTGGTGAGTCCCACCCAGTGAATTAAGTTGAGACTTGTTTGTGAGTGGCGAGTCTCACCCAGTGAATAAGTTGTGACTCATTTGCGAATGACGAGTCCCACTCAGTGAATAAGTTGTGACTCATTTGTGAGTGGCGCATCTCACCCAGTGAATGAGTTGACTCATTTGCGAGTCTCACCCAGTGAATAAGTTGAGAATCATTTGTGAGTGGCGAGTCCCACCCAGTGAATAAGTTGACTCATTTGCGAGTCTCACCCAGTGAATTAAGTTGAGACTCGTTTATGAATGGCGAGTCTCACCCAGTGAATTATGTTGTGACTCATTTGCGAGTCTCACCCAGTGAATTAAGTTGAGACTCATTTGTGAGTGGCGAGACCCACCCAGTGAATAAGTTGTGACTCATTTGCGAATGATGAGTCCCACTCAGTGAATAAGTTGTGACTCATTTGTGAGTGGCGCGTCTCACCCAGTGAATGAGTTGACTCATTTGCGAGTCTCACCCAGTGAATAAGTTGAGGATCATTTGTGAGTGGCGAGTCCCACCCAGTGAATAAGTTGACTCATTTGCGAGTCTTGCCCAGTGAATAAGTTGAGACTCGTTTGTGAGTGGCGAGTCTTGCCCAGTGAATAAGTTGAGCCTTGTTTGTGAGTGGCGAGTCTCACCCAGTGAATTAAGTTGAGACTCGTTTGTGAGTGGCGAGTCTCACCCAGTGAATAAGTTGTGACTCATTTGCGAATGATGAGTCCCACTCAGTGAATAAGTTGTGACTCATTTGTGAGTGGCGCGTCTCACCCAGTGAATGAGTTGACTCATTTGCGAGTCTCAACCAGTGAATAACGTGAGACTCGTTTGTGAGTGGCGAGTCTTGCCCAGTGAATAAGTTGAGCCTTGTTTGTGAGTGGCGAGTCTTGCCCAGTGAATAAGTTGAGCCTCAATTGTGAGTCTTACTCAGTAAATTACACATTTGCGAGTGGCGAGTCCTATCTAGTAGAGCATTGGAAACTCGGGGGGGGGGGCAGAAAAACTATGCAAAATTTTGTTTTCTTTTAGTTTTGTGGTTATCTCTTTTCAATGATGAATTGCTGTAAAATTGTAATAGTTTTTCCTTAAGAAACAGGCGTGCAGATTTTTTTTTCAATTTTGTCGCCCCTAGAGTTTCTAATGGTCCACCCCTGAGTTGGCTCATTTGCAAGTGGCAAGTCGTACCCAATGAGAATGGGCAAACCATTTTTGAAGACTTTTACTCTAGGTTCTCATCGACTGGTCAGCTAAGCACAAACAAATGTAAAACAAGTGGATACTATAGAATACTTTATTTTCACTTGGAATTTATTTTCGCTATTTTCGCTGAAAGGATGATTCAGTGAAAATAAAATCCAGCGAATATACGGTACTTTTTTTTCCTATATTTCATATTAAACTCATCAAAAAACAGTGAAAATAAATTCCATACGAAACGCCCAAAAAGCCTTTTCAGTGAAAATTTATTCTCGCGAAAATAATGTATTCCACAGTACAACACATTCTGTGTAATCCTTATCATTAAAGTAACCGGGTATGATCTATTTTGTATGGAGACTTGCACATGTGCTTCTTAGTGGTCAAATACATTATCAGCATTGGTCTATTACTGTAAAAGCATTAATTATTCACCAGGTTTTAATTACGCTATTTTCACTAATAATTACTTATTAGTGAAAATACGCTAAATTCAATGCACATGAAGATGTAAAATAACAATAAACTCATTGTCTTGCTGGCAAATTTGTGAACTTAAAACCCAGAGAATATGCTCAAACTGGTGAAATTAAATCACAGTGAAAATAAATGGTTTTACAGTAACACTTATCCTAGCCCCTTGTACTTTTACATTGACTTCGCTAAATAATTGTTATAAACAACTTTTTTTCCCAATTTTAGGCAATGTGCTTACACCTGTTTATTTTTTTGAGATCCACTCTACATAATTAAACGAGTTGCATAATAATGTGATAACTTATTTTATGCACCAATTAATGATAATTTTAATGTTTTATATTACAGACCGGTGTTTTGCCGTGGCGATCACACGCTTAGCGTGGCTATGGACCTATTTGCTACAAATAGACGCCGATTATGTGAGAGATTACGAGCAAAGGAGGGTATTCCTAAAGGCGCTATTGTTTTACTGCAAGGTGGCGAGACAAAACAGAGATATTGTTCAGATACAGATGAAGTTTTTAGACAGGTGATTGTTAGATTGTGGACTGTTTGCCAGTCACAGTATCGAATTTCGAGAAAATTTGCCAAAAATTATTTATGGAATGCTATTTTTAGAACTATTCCACTATTAACTGTTTTTTTGTTGTTGACAATTTTTTAAAACCAAGAAATTTAAAAAATAATTTGGGATAACAAAAAGTACCCCATTGATACTGATAATAATTGTGTACCCATGATTTCACAGATTCACGAAATTCATGGAAATTTGTCAGTATTTCAATAGTAGCATGTATGTTTATGCTACATAAGAATAAACGCATGGTCAAACTGATGACCGTTAAATTTTTGTTGTTGGGGGGTGTGGGGAAGTGCTGACCATCAAAGTACATGGTCTGACATTGACATTGCATTAATTGTTGATTCATAGGAGTCTTATTTCCACTGGACATTTGGTGTTGCTGAACCAGATTTCTATGGTGCCATAGATGTAGACAGCGGGGAATCAATTCTGTTTGCACCAAAGTTACCCGACTCCTATGCTGTATGGATGGGAAGGCAAGTTTGTATCATTGCTCCACCTGATACTTTCAGTGCAAGTGACGTACACATTTCTATGTGTTGAGCTAATTAGACGTCAGCCTCTCTTTCATCTTATAATTTCGTGAATGTATAGAATTGCTTCTTAAACTGTGTTTGTCTCAAATTGTGTACATGTGAATGTTGTTTTATTTTGATAGGTTAAATCCAGAGAGTCACTTCAAGGAGAAATACGGAGTGGACACCTGTCATTGGGTGACCAATGTAAGTTACCTAGCAACCATTGATGGTGCACAGCAACCATTAACATAATGTTACAATGTTTTTGCATTTTACCATCATAAAAAGCCATTAACTCGCTTTACATAACAATGTTGACTGCGAAATGATTGTGCTCAGCCATGTGTCAGTGAAACTGGTCCATCGCATTCTTGTAACATCAAACGGCCTCTTATAATTATAATTTTAAATTCTTGTTTATAATTGCAACTTTGTTGCAGATTTTATATTTAAAGTTTGTAAACTCTGTAATGAGAACTCGTCAATGATTGCGGCATTCATTCAAGCAAAACTTTCTCTGCATTTGGATCAGGTAACCACAACACAGACTGGCTGGGTTCTTTATGGTATTTGATACAAGTAAAGCATGGTATGAGTATTGACCAAAATGTATTTGAAATTTAAGCAGATTTACACAGTACAGACAATAGTGCTCGCACAGCTTAGGTTCTATTTTTGTAATCAGAAAATGTGCTCCTGAAAATAAAACTTTGGTACACTTATTAATTTACCTCTTTGCTCGTACGGAAACTGCACTTTTGTTTTATGTACAGGAAAACAAGAAATGGGCACTATTGACAAAAAATAGCAACGTCAATGACCGTGATTTGAGAAATTAACATTTTTGCTATAATGCCTCGTGTCAATTCGCTAAAACAGAATGTCACTTTTTTAACATGTTTTACAGTAACTTTTTTTTCCATTCATTATATAGCAGTATATAAAATTATCAATGATTTAAAAAAGTTCTTATGAAGCGTCAATTTAACATTTACAATAAAAAGGTTATGAATATGTTATATAAAAATATTGATGTGAAATTATTCAATGATAGGTACGGTACAATACTGACATTTAACCTTTTCGCCACCAGTTTCTTCTTTTCATCACAAATTCACGCGTTTATAGTACGCATAGTCAGAAGATTGGTACAAAAATAGCTGAATTCTTCGAGTAAAAACTGCAAATTGACTCAAATTGTGTCTGTTGGCCCCAAAATTGGGGTTTATTTCCAGAAATGTTGATGAATACAAGAAAAAAGTGCTGAAAAGTTTGGGAAAGGAAGTCTGATGGTGAAAAGGTTAATTAATAACATAATAAATACATTGTAGAAAATTACGTTATGACGTAATTATAAAACATTTCTACTGTGTTTTTACAGATCGTTTGTATGACATCTCAAAAATGTGTTGCATAATTATAGTTGTAAACGTCATGACATTTTCAAAAAAACTGTATTTGCCTGTAAACAAAAAATAACTGTATAATTACTGAATAGTAATAGTTTCATAATAGAGTTTTATGTTATAACACTACTGTAAAATGATGAAATTTCACTGGGTTTAAATTTTGCTGATTTACCATTTCAGGCATATTCAGTGGGTTTTAAATTCATGGTTTTTTCATTTAGATAATGTGTTCTATGCTAAATTTCACATATTCACTGGGTTTTGATTTAGCGCATTTTCCAGTCAGCGGAATAAGCAAAATTAAAACCCAGTGAATAATTAACAGTAATTTAAATCAACAGCTGTGTATAATGATGGCCAGTCATTATGAAGTAAGGTTATCTCAATTCATATTTTCTTCTGAAACATCGACATTTCAACATTGAGCTATAAAATAAGAAATTCAAAATCAAATCATTCTATTTTTGTGGCAGACACTCGGGCCACAAATTTTACATAAAACACAAGATCTTGCAGTGAATAGAAAATCACCTATTTAATGGTATTTTATATATTTATGTGAACATTTGTGGCGTACGTCCCAAACATTTCCATGGACATTGCGTAGTATGATTTTCTATGCAAGGTGACAGGGACTTTGTCTTATTGATTTCAGATGAAAGATGTCTTGAATTCCAAGAAACCATCTGTTCTGCTGCTCTTAGTGAGTTATCAATGTATTTATTTTGTTGTTGCTATGACAACTGTGACAACCATTTTCATGCAATATATTCTGGTCTACAATTTTTAAACTTCCCACAGATCTAGTCTGATTATCTTCATTTCTGTTCTAATCTGACATGTTATCGGCACCTGTTGGCCAGTGTTGGCTGGCATTCCACCCTTTTCTAAAGAAACATTATCGTTAAGCGTCTTCTTCTTGTGTGTTACAGAAAGGAGTTAATTCTGATAGTGGTCATACTTGTAGAGCTGCTGCTTTTGATGGGATTCATGAGTGAGTATGTCACAATAGTTTTGTACATATGAATTAAATATGATTGTGAAAAAGAGTGAATTATAAATAATAATTACAGGAGTACAAAGTTTTTTATTAACATGGCTGGATTGTATTTGTGGTTAAAAATGAACATGAACTGCATTTATTTTATGTTGGATTTTTAAAATATGACTTATTTTGACCATAGACACACTTTAAATTTACATAATGTGTTTTAATATAGCAAATAAGCTCCCTGTTTTCTTCCTTTTTTGTGCGATATTCTAGAGTGGTATGTTAGGGTTAGGGTTCATTACTTCACCAGTTTTGTCTAGTTGGCATGTCAAGATTACCCTAGGTGGTGTGCTACCAAAGCGATAGGGTCCAGTTCTATTTATGTATGTATGCATGCATGTCATTGTACGACACCGACAACAGTCATACTGGTACAGACTTTATTTTCATGAGACAAATTGTGGGAGTCTGGGAAAATCATGCAAATGTATAGAATTAAAAAATGACACTGCCACACTCTTGAAATGGTCAAATCATTGCCATTTTTTAGCAGTGAAAATTAAGCAGCTTTAATACAGTAACATTCGCAGGTTTGATATCTTTCTCTGCAAAAATGTCCTTAGTTCCTTAGGATTGTATACTTCTTCAACTACAGGATAAAAATTGTGAATAAAGTGTCCATTATGTGTCCAAGTCGTGGTAAATTTGGGTTTCGTACCATGTCTTCATTTTGTGCAAAATTGATACATGAATTAAAATAAGAACAGTCTGTGTATTTGTGATTTAGTGATGCTTTTTATTGACTGTCCGTTCTTTGCTACCATGTCAAGTGTCCCCAAGTTCAGCTAAATTTTTGTGGACCGAGAATTTTCATGGGCATCAACTGAGACGTGTATTAAAAAATAATAATAAATATTATTCCTATCATTTGTAGGTTTAAGACAGACTATGATGCATTGCACCCTGAAATCATGGAATGGTAAGTTGATTTTTTGTCAATCTGGGAGAATAATCATGATGACATTTTGTACTTTCTTAGTTAGTTGTGTTCCGAAACACAATTCTAATTCATATGACTAGATTTTATGTTGTGCAGATAAAAAAATAGATATGTCTGGTTTTGACAGGCATAACTCGCTAATGTTACTGATGTTTTTCTTTTTATAGCCGAGTTATTAAAACTCCGCAAGAGCTTGAAGTGATGAGATATGTCAATAAAATCAGTAGTGACGCACACAAGGAGATTATGAAGAAAATAAGACCTGGAGTAGAGGAATATCAAATGGAAAGGTAAGTAAGAAGCATTATGATTGGATGTTTTTTACATCACATGTATAAAGTAAAAAGCATTATGATTGGATGGTTTTTACATCACATGCAAGTAAGAAGTTTTGTGATTGGATGGTTTTTACATCACATGCAACTTTCTTTGTGACCATGTGATGAAGATCTCATTTTGCACTAGTTCCGAGCATGTATTCAAACTTGTTCTATCTAAAAGAGTAAACTTGTGGATGTCTGTCTCAGCAATCTGATTTGCATTTTCTGGCGATCATCTTTTAATCTGTGGGATTGATCTTCATAGTATATCTCACCAGTTATTTCAGTTCTTAGTAGAAATAAGAAGTGAAAGATCATGTACCGGAGTGGATTTGGTAGTTAAGAAGAGATCGTTACTATTTCCCTATCTTATTACAGTTTATTTAAATACTATTGCTATTTTCATTGTGGTTGCCGAGCATGAACTCAAGGTGTTTGTTGCAGGTCAGTACCTACAAAGATTGTTGTGTAACTACTTGTACATTTCTAGTTTATTTCAGCATTACTGTTACTACAATGGTGGATGTCGACATTGCTCCTACACCTGTATTGCCGGAAGGTTAGTTTATACAGTCAGAATGTGTTTTTTTAACATTGTGATCCATTACTGGATGGTTAGGTGGACTTTGTATATACAGTGTTTGATATTTCATGAAATTGTGTACTAGAGACTCCAGGGCAGGTAACTTCCACCCTATATTAAAAATTATTTTCAAATAATTCCAAGTTAGCACACCAAGTTTTACCCAGTTAGCAATGGTCAGAATGATGTCGGTGTTTTGTTGGTCACCCATTTTGTGTAGATCTGAGAAGTTGGATCTATATGCATTAAATTTTAATGAAGCAGAACATGAAAAAAAATATTACCAGATCCACTGGTGTTTTAAGTTTTAATTTTCACCAGCCTGACACATCTCTGGTGTATGGGAGGGCAGTAATTTCAATAACTGTATATCCAATCAGTGTTCACAGAGCCAATGAGTAAATAATACACATGGTGTTTAACCTATACACTGTCAATTCATATACACTGTATGTTGTTATGGTATTCACTGATCACGTAAAAACATCAGCATTGGTAAATAAATAAATAGATAAAGATTATGTTGATTATTTATTATAAATTCAATTGTTGATATGCACATCTGATAGATCAAATACAATAGTACCGTAAAATCTCTATTAGAAGCAGCGATTTCTATTAAAATGATACAATGCAACAGAGGGGATGCGGTTTCTATTAGAGCATCTACACATATGAGAAATGGTGATTTTTTTGGGGTTCTCAATTGTTCAAAAATAATGGGTGCGATTTCTATTAGGGATGCGGTTTCTAATACAGATTTGACGGTAGTAATTTCATGCAAATTACAGTTTTATTTGTATTTGCAGTGGTGAAAATGCTGCTATATTGCATTATGGACATGCTGGTGCTCCTAATGATAAAACCATCAAGGATGGAGACATGTGGTAAGTGTAAACATTTAACAATCCTGTGTGGTCTTTATTTGGGATTCAAAAGCAGCAAACATGTTTGTGAACCCAATAATTCATGTGTATTTGTTCTGTCGCGAACATTAATATTGTTATTAATTTCGGAGTTATTATTGTTATATTCGATGTTATGGTGATACTGCTGAAATGCATAAATTATGTGATTTTACTATTATCGGAAACCTAATCTAGTCTGCATTTCTGTGACGCTATTCGCATTCTTATTTCTACAGTTTATTTGATATGGGTGGTGAATACCATTGCTTCACCTCTGACATCACCTGTTCATTCCCGGTCAATGGTAAATTCACTCCAGATCAGAAAATCATCTACGAAGCGGTATATAAATCTAGCAGAGCTGTTATGAATGCAGTTAAACCAGGTTTGCTAACTTCTGTTGATTGTTGGTATCATTCTTTTTAGCTAGCGTCTTATTTTAGCTAATCTGTAATTTCGCTAATTCAAGATGTAGCTAATTTGAAAGTATATTCTCACAATTTTAATTTGTATTTTTCTTGTGATTTTTATTGATGGTCTTTTATGTTTTTAGGAGAATATGCACATGATAATAATAATAATAATAAAATGAAGATTCTGTTAATAGTTGCTTTGAGTCAAATTTGCAATAATTTCACGTAGCTATTTCAAGCTGTTTTGCAGTACCTATAAATCCATGTTATTCACCAATATTCATGTAATCAATACACTAAATAGAACACAGCGCTACTGTAAATGCATTAATTATTCACTGGGTTTTAATTTCACTATTTTCGGTATAAAGTAAAATATGCTAAATTAAATTTATGTGAACATGTAAAATAACAATCAAAATCTTTGTTTCCTTGACAAATTCATGAAATTAAAACACTGTGAATATGCTCGAAACATTAAAATAGTGAAATTGAATGTCAGTGAAAATAAATGGTTTTACAGTATTTTGGAGCAAATTAAAGATGACAGTGATTATTGGCCCAAATACAACAAATAATTGAATCTGACATGGTAGTGTTTCCTCTCATCCCAAGAACAATCAACAACCTCAATGGTTTAACAAAGCACCTGTAATTTTGAATTTCCCTCTAAGGTACGTCCTGGGTTGACATGCATAAATTGTCTGAAAGAGTCATGTTACAAGAACTCTTGCAGCATGGACTACTGAAAGGTGACATCGACGAATTGATGGAGAATCGAATTGGCACTCTTTTTATGCCACATGGATTGGGGCATTTTATGGGTCTGGATGTCCACGATGTTGGTGGCTTCCCTGAAGTACGTACTTTTCTATCAGATATATATTATACTCAACAGATATTTCCAGTGCAGATTCAGAGGTGGCTGATTTAACCTTTTCACCACCAGTTCTCACTTTTCATCACAAATTCAAACAAGCAGCCTGTCGGCTGAGATAGCTCCGCTGTTAGCAATGCACATTTCAATTAAAGAACTGAAGATATCATTAGAAAATGTATAGTATCAAAGCAATTGGACTTGCTGTTTTCAACAAGAATTTGAAAATATCCATTTTTACCAAAAATGACAAAAATATTCATTAAAATTAGATAATTGAAGATAACACCATCAAATGAACAAATCTGAGAGAGGTCCACCCTGAAGTACCTATATGTATAGTATCAAAGCAATCAGACTTGTGGTTTTTAACAAGAAGTCGAAAATAAATATCACTTTTACCAAAAAAGACAAAAATAATCATTAAAATTAGAGAATTAAGATATCATCATGAAATGAACAAATCTGCCAGTACCTGTAGTACCGGTACCTATATATATAATAGCAAAGCAATTGGACTTTTGGTTTTTAACAAGAAGTCGAAAATATCACTTTTTACCAAAAATATTCACCAAAATTAGAGAATTGAAGATATAATCATGAAATGAACTAATCTGAGAGAGGTCTACCCAAGGTACATACACACCAAGTATCAAAGCATTCAGGCTTGTAGTTTGCAAAGAGAAGTCAAAAAAGTAAAACATTGACAATCGCTCATAATAATAATAATAATAATAATGAATTTATTGCATCCTTAGAAATAATTTCCATTGGTTGAACAGCAATAAAATGTTAGTAATAAAGTACAATACATATAAAATTAAAGTAAAAGTAAAATGTCAGTTATTGATATTTCTGATTT